CCAGCGCAGACTGAGAGGGCTGTGATTGGTTTGCTTGGTAGCAACGCATTTCTGTTTCTGTATTTCCAGATTGCGCCATCCCCGCCATCTTTAAACATCTTCTGTTGCGATGTAGATGTTGCAGTATTAACATACTTTCTTCGACATCCAACAACTCCAACTCCAGCAAGATTCTCTCTCTCTCGGTCGCCATTGTTCACTGTGACCGGAAAAGCCGGAAGCTAAACAAAGAATCAACTAGAGACGACGATAACCATTCAGGAAAGGAACGCAGCCCCCTACCGCTCTGGCGGTGAAATGCACCGCGACGAAATGGAGTGACGGAGAAGTTCGAAGGGTTCACGACGGCGTCACGGCAACGACGTAGGTAGGTCGTAGGTACACCGCAGGATCATAAATCAGGCTTTTGTTGGAGGTGCACGTCGCGTCTCTGCGTAGGTCGCAGAGGGACGCAACACCTCCGCAAAGCCCTCTGTGTCATAGGTATGCAGAAGCATAAACCTTGCTTTACAGTCCATCCGTTCCTTTGGTGCAATGCATGATGGGATATAGTGCTTGATTAGTGACCAGTGTTTCCACTAGATTTACAGCTTTTGGGGTGGGGGTCTTTTTGGGGTCTCACGTGACCATGTAGATAGAAATGACATGCGGTCATGTGAATACGATAAATAACATAAGGCTATTTAGTTTGTTTAATGAAAGGACAAGGTATAGACCTGTTCTTTAGGAAAGGTAAACTTAAATGACTTCTGTTGTGATCTGGCGCTATATAGAAAATACAGTTAAATAAAATTAACTTGATCTTCAAGGCCGGGGTAGTTGGAAACTACTTTTCACAATGCATTGTGGGATACGTTGAGTCCAATATATAGTAGGGGTGTAAATCACCAGCTTCATCACGATGCGATATTAAATCGATTTGTTTGGATGACGATACGATGTTTGCCGATATCACAAAGTCTGTCACGATACAATTTTGATTCGATTCGATTCAGGAGCCTGTGATCAATATGACGCGATATCATATGCCCATCTAACACAATCATTTACATCAACTCACAAAAACAACTAGAATATGATTTGACCATTTTATTTCTGAGCTCTGTTTGTTGTTTGAGCAGAGGCGCGCTTGCCCAGAAATGGTGACAGAGACATGCTATGTGAATTTCAGAATAAATGTGTATCTTTAAGATGACGATATGGATCGATGTTTTCATTTTGCATCGATATAATCGGATCGTTAATCAATGAATCGATGTATCTATGTGGATCGATGTATCATCACACCCTTAATATACAGGGTATGATAATTCCCACCATACATTTGGACAGCACTACGAAATGGTGAACTCACTGTATAGTGTGTCGAGAGTGATTCTGGACACAGCTCATGTCGATACAAAGATGTCCCAACCGACCCCACTCTCCCCTACAGTGTGTGATTGTGCTCTGTGATTTTCAAAATAAATAATGTAAACTTAAAAACAGTCATGCTGTCATGCCATGCAGTAGCACTGTTGAATTTGACATTGCAGAATTTAACCAGCTTTAATACTAAGCGGTTGCTTCAGTGGACAGGACTGAATTACAAAAAGACAGACCCACAGGAATTGAACGTCTCATTATCTTGCTGTTTCAATGGGGGAAAAAAGGCTGACTATGCTTGACACAAATGCACTGAGTGAAATGCAATGAAGACCTCCAGTACGTTACTCTCCATAGTTTTAATGTGCTGTATTTATTTAGTGGGTTTGGACGAATGCTTCAACCAGTGATGCCTTCAGGTGCTCAAACTGTCAGCGACAAAACACAAACAGAAACTGTGCTTCCTAAACTGTGGCTGCCCAACATAAGTTAACTCCACTGGTCACTTACAGTTACCACTACAGCTCGATTAAATCAGCTGTCGCTAGCTAACACTGCCTAAATGTTTGCGGCTGACGCAGGACTGCCCACACGAAGGACAGTCAATGGAACATTACATGTAGGAACATATTAATGAAATACATGGTATGTGTTGTGGTCTTTTTGTCAGTTAGAGCTGAGCACTGCTGCTAACCAGCTGACACAACCCTGACTGCTGTTTAACGGACGCTGAGCTCAGGCCAAAACAGTTAGCTTCACTGAAATATGACACAGCAAAGCGGAAGAGGAGGCTAACAACAGCTAGCGCCGCTTTTCACCCTGTCACCTGCTTTGTCCCGGAAATCACAGAGGTTATAAACTCATGACACATTACGGAATGTCAGGATGTGATGAATGTGTTATAGATGACGTGAATAGATGAGGTAAAACACCTGGATAGCGGCGGACAGTCAGCTGCAGCCTGTTAGCATGTTAGCTAGCCGCTGTCTGACGTTACCTCCGAAGCGTTAGGCCACAGCACCGCTCACACACAGGCTGTTTCCAGATACAGACACACACACACCTCACATTAGTGTCTCTACTGACCGACACTGAACACAGCTGGGTGTCCGGAGGAGACATGCACATGCACACAATGATAGTGTATTTGTAAAAGTGCTTACCATGGTTATTAGATGTGTGTCAGATCAGTCGGAGAGGCTGGCCTGTCATGTGACTCACATTAATGCTGCCTTCACGGTCTGCACTCAGCGAACACATCAGGAGACAGGCGTGGCCAACACTGTACACACACTTGCAGGATGTCAGTGTGCAGGATCCAACCAGCAGGACATACTGCAGCAGTTTAATATGATGCAGAATAAAAGATGGTGAAAAATAAAAGCAATGGAACGCAAGTTTGTGCTGGAGGGACTGTAAACAGGTTGGAGATCACACACATTTCTAAGACGTAGCCTACTGGAAAAGGGTTTAGACACAGATACTGACCATTGTGACCCATTGACTTTTTATTTAATTTTTTAATCTTTATATAGTTTTTTTAAGGAACAATCCCCGAAGGAGCAGTGGATCAGAGAAAGGCTTACTTGCTGCATATTATTTTATTCCTCCCTCAATGGCAAGACAGGTTAATGAAAATATACTTAAAAAAGTTAAACTCTACGTAAAGATAGACAAGTTTTTGATTCTGTAGGCTCCTGTAACTGCTTATTTTAGATAACAAAAGTGATACAGAGCTGTACTTGTGTATTTGTGAATTTGGCCAAAGTTGATATTGACTTATTTTAATTTTATTTCATTTTATCTTACTTTATTTTATTTTATTTTATTATTGCATTATTTCCCTCTGTATCTCCCTATGGATTATTTTATCTTTTTTTTTTTTTGCTGTTGTTGTTCTTTGTAAAGCATTGAAATCCAATGTATTGTTATTATTGTTATTATGATTATTTTTTGGCTATACTAATTAATTAAAATTTATTTTTGAGACTCTTTATATGGACGTACATGTTGCCATGATTCATAATTTGTATGCTCGCTTGCAGAACTGTGAATTGTTTATTTTTGTTTCTATTTCCTGACATAGCAATGCATAATTCAAGCTTGAATAAACATTTTGTTACAAAATAAAATAAAACTGAGGGTGTCACAGCTGATACATAAGGTTAGCAAAATGTACAGAAATAGTTTACTGTAAATGCATATTTCTAATTCTTTGACACAAGAACTATTGGTCATAGAGACTTGCATAAATGAGGAGCACACGAAAAACTTGCCAAAATTGCAGGTAGGTTACTGTCACATTTAAAGGTCTAGTGTGTGGAATTTAGTGCCATCTAGTGGTGAGGTAGCAGAACTGAAACTTATCACCATGTGCCATGCAAGCAGCTGAAAAATGAAGCCAACATGGAAGTGCCGAAAACTGCAGTTCTTTGAACGGCTACTTGAGGCTGTCAGTCCCCACAGACCTCCACATTAAAATACAATATAGTCAATCGAGTGGCAAGATGGGGCCACCATTAAGTTTAAAGGCTCATTGAAAACTATGTCAGTTTGGAGAGTTTAGGAATCGAACACTGATTTACTTTAGTTTCTTATATTACGGTTAATATTACTAATTATCTGATGTGAATGGACTGATATTGGTGTAATTAACATTTTGAGTTCCACAATATTCTATAACAAAAGTTAGTGACCTCTAATTATTTTGGATTATTTCACCTGGCCACCTCTTGGTGGCGCCACTGGCATGTAGTTCATTCCACCTCCTCTTCACTTCTGATCACTCAGATTCTCTTTACGTATTAAATGGGTTGTAATGATAGTACGAAACCAAATAAACCACAGTAAATATGTAAAGTCCTTTTAGGGGTTCGTGTAGACGTGACATCTATATGAGTTGGTCCCTCTGGCTTCAGGACGTCGACCATGAACTGCAAATTCCCTAGATTGAATTCAGCTGGGATCTTTGTTGAACCTTTCTCTATCTTGTTTTCTGTCTGTCTGTGATGAAGGTTTAAAAGGCCTAGAAATATTAATAACAAAACAAATGATTTGAAATTAACTGATTATTAACTAGTTTGTTATCAACATATGACAAACATGAATCACACAGTGTCTGCTTAGAAAGCTTTATTATGAAGACTTTATCCCACATCTATTACATTCAAATAATACAAACTGCTGCTTTTTACATATATGTATTTATATCTTTACATAGTAGTCAAATGTTTATATTCACCTCATTCTCCTTTCTTGTCAAGGTCTTTAACTATATGTCTACTCTGTGTACAGCTACAAAAAACGGAGTCAAGTTCTTTGTATGTGCACGCATACTCGCCAGATTCTGATTCAGGAAACATACAGTAAATGCAAAAGTGCACTCAACAAATGATAGACATTTAAATAACCAAATAAATACAACTATAGTACAGCAAGAAAACAACTGCAGTTACTATCCGATAGATTAGTGATACTTAACCAGCAGCCTGTGGGCCAGGGAGCCATTTTCTAATTCACAATAAAATAAGTGGATTCACACTGGGAATTTCTTTTGCACTTTAATTATAAATTAAGTGCCAGGGTGCTTAAAAAGCACCAAAATAGAGCTTGTTTATCAAATAAAGTGCCAGGGAAGGATCCCCTGGACTCTCAACAGAGGTCCGGCCAAAGTCCTAATATCCTAAAAATGCCCCTGCGTACAGCTGATCTGTGTGGGGCTCTTGTGACTGGCCACCTGTCATTTTGCAAAAGTGGCCCCTGGGCAAAGCAAGTTAAGTATCTCTGTGATCAACATCTTGATCCTCATCTACAGATAGTAACGTGTTTTTCCTCTGTGTGCCCTGAGATTCCTAATGTGTCAGAAGGAGAACTTTGTGTTAAAACACACCATGAATAAGATGTAAAATGTCTAAACACATGCTGGGTGCTCCTTCATCGTCGCACTGTGACTGATACAGTTTTCCTTTTTCCAGTCGGTGCTACTCTTCATTCATCTGATCATGCACCTTGTCTTTATTCCAAACGAACACAAACATGAACATTATACTCAGTAGCGGTGTGTATCTGCTCCGTAGGACACTGCACTTGTATTCTGTTGGGACATGTCTGTGTGGACAGCACAGGCAGGATGTTGCAGCAACCTTTCCGGGTGCAGGCTGGCTGGATGTGCAGTTGGTTCCTGGTTCAGCAACATGCAGGGTTGAGCACATGTTTTCAGAGACATGTACAACCACATAATTTCTGGAGCCAACATGACACGGCCCTACAAGCCATGCCCACCACTGGTAGTACAAGACAAACTCGACAACGTGACAGCTATCTGAACTCTGCTACAAGGTGACGCTGTCGTTAATAAACATGAGGCCAAACGTATAATTCGTTATACATGAAGGTGTGATGTAACCCTTGCCCTGACCTTAACCTTAACCACCTCTCTTTTAACTTCACACTTCATAGCTAGCTTAAAGGTAACTTAGCATTCTCTTTAGGGCGTCTGCTCCCGGACCAAGGGAGAGAAGGAGGCTGATCGTGGACTGACGTGTAGGGATGGTGAGCAGATCACGTCGCTGCTCCAGCCACACCCACTTTCCAGGCCTCAGACAAAGTAGAACACTCAGGACACACGCATCTCCTGGTGTCTCCAAGCTGCTGTCTCATCTCTTGTGGAAACTGGGGCTGTGAATGATCTGAGAGAGTTTTCCAAAGGAGTCCATCGTGTCAACAGGTTCTTCTGTTTTTGTTGCGCTCTGTCCTGTTTGGTCGAGGACGTCCAGATCGGGGGATGAGGCCCAGTCCAGGGTGCTGATCCTGGGGAGGAACTGGGCCAGAGCTGGGACACCTCGGTCTCGACCCTGCTGCCTCTGCCGGTGGTTTCCCAGACTGAGCAGGGCTCCGTGGCTGTCGGAGACGTAGATGTTGTACCCGTCGGGCAGGATCTGCTCTCTGAAGGTGCAGTCGTCTCTGCTGTAGGTGTGCTGGAAATGATGACACAGACACGTTCACATAGAAATATTCATGTTCTACAAATCTGTTGAAAAAATTACACCTCCCTGTGATGTAATGACCTCAGTACACCTGTGGTAAACTGATTCATTTTGTTTTCTATGACTATAACATCTACACACAGCAGATTTTCCTCCAACAACAGGGCAGACATCAGGTAAATCCTTCTGGCCCTACTCCAGTGAACGTTCATCTCTGGTGCGGCCCTGCGTTGCCACGTGGTGCATCTTAAGTGATAACAGAAAGAAATCAGTGCAGCATGGCTTGACTCAGCGTGGCCAAAAGTTGTAATGGAAAAGGGTAAAAATCAGCTCATATACTATGTCAGTTTATAAATCTTAATATGATGTGTAGGAAACATGCAAATGTAACGTGTTCATTCTTTGCATGAATGTTATTTCACCTGGAACTGCACATCGACATATTTCTAAATTTGTGAAGCAATAAACAATATTTAAATAATCAATTAAAAGTCAAAGTATTGTTTTCCAGCATTGTCCGGTTTGGGCTTTCTAATGGTTTGTTGGACAAAACTAGATGTCAGCTTTGGGCTCCGGAAAACTGTAATAGACTTTTTTTTTATTAACCATTTTATGACATTTTATAGATTAAACAATGAAGCAAAGAAAAGCCCTAAAGTTGTATTTAAAGAGAATAAACCTCTGTCTTTATAATACTCCGAAGGAATCATGTGCACATACAGTGAGAGGGAGAAATAAGGGATGAATGGGATTAATTGCCACCCCCACCCATCCCTCCCCCAAACCCCCCCACCCCCACCCCCCCACAGGTTAATCAGGCCAAAGTTGTGTAACAGTTAAACCATGAACTTTTACTTCTTACTGGAATTTTAGGGTTGTTTCCTCTGGATTTGGCTCATCTTTTTTTCAGTTGTCTTTACAACTGTAAATAAAAAAAACAATATTATATTATATTATATTATATTTTGTGAAACTATGAGTGAAGCTGATTCCATTCACTGGTTAGAAAGCTGCTCAGATGACACAATGAATCCTAAATTAGCATTACATGACTGTTTTTTTTTTTTTTAGACAGAAGGCCCCTTTTATCATAAAAACATACGTAAATGTTGCTGCAAGTTCTTCGACGGCTGTTTACTTTGGCCAAAGAGAGCCAGTCAGAGGCCAAGGTTGTTGTTGCTGCTGCTGGCTCTTTTCATTCAGGTTTTTCACTTTGCAAACACATCTTACCCTGCACCACACTGGACAAAGGTTGATGAACCGCTCGTCTGTTTGAATGAATGAATGGCATGCTGTGTTTTCTGAACACGCGAGCAGATTAACAACAGATAAAACTGTGCTGCTGCATCTTCATTTTGGTGAAGCTTTGCTTTTTTTCCGATGCATTGCTGAGTTTTAATAAGGTGGAAAAATCACCAATATTTTATAACAGTCACCAGTGAGTAATAGTGAGATTAAGTTTGACTTTAGTGGTCATATTATATAAGAAGTTTAGTTGTAACATGCTCAATGGTTTATTTCCTTATTTACAATCTTACAGAACTCAAAACTGACAATATTGATCAAATGAATTAGAAAGCCTAAATGAGAAAGGATAAAGATTGCTGCTGAAAATTCCCAGGTACAACATTTGAAGAAGCTGAAATACTGAAAAAGTTTAAATACAATTACTAAAAGAAGTTAAACTGGCAGTTAAAGTGCTGAAAGTAGAATTTCCACCTGCAATCGAAGCACTAAATGAAGTTGAAAATATGAAATAAAGTGTGGGGTTTTAAGAGTGCTGAAAAGAGCTGAAAATACAGTTGAACCTGAAGCTCTGAGAGGAGTTGAAGAGTCAGTTGAAGAGCAGGATTAAAAGCCGTTAAACTGTCTACCTGTCTTAGTATAAAAAAGTTGGGACCTCCCAAAAAAAGCCATTTGACTTTCCCTGTTGTTACAGTCATGTATAAACTACAGTCAGAAATGGTGTTCGTTCAGCCACTGAAAAATGACTAACTATGACTACACTAAGTGACCAGCAAAGGAAGACTGTTTCATGAAACATCCAACAACCTTATCTGCATGTATCCTCATACAGTGGTCTGTATGATATCTAATGAATGAGTGCCCCATGAATGGCATCATCACATTACATACTTAACATAAAATTAGGTAGATTAAGTCAAGTAAAGTTACATAGGTTAGGTTTGGGAAAGGAAACATGGTTGGGCATACTTAACGTTACTATGTGTTTAACATAAAGTTATGTAGGTTAAGAAAAGAAATGCAGTTGGGCATCATCATGTTACTTAATGTAAAGTTAGGTAGGTAAGGTTTAGTAAAAGAAACATAGTTTCTTAGTTTAAGCATTCGCGAGTTCACACTACACTAAAATGAGAGCGATGTTGTTCGAAGAAACGGAGCGTCATATTTCTACATAAGTTAAAGAAAGGTTAAGTCAATCACACAGTGACTGCTGCTCCAAGAGTATGGTGCTCTGAATAACCGAATGGTACATTTCAACAGTGCTCCAAAATAACGAACGGTCCAGTTTGTATCAGAGCACACTCCGGCACTTGGAAGTATCTCCAAATGCACCCTTGGTTTTAAACGGGACACAAACAGTGGTCCTCTGAGAAAAGTCCTATGTTTGTTTCACCCGTCCACCACCCCGAACTTTCCTCACAAATTTTTCGTCCTATGAAAAGCAATGCACCCAAATTCGTACATATCTCAGGTATTTTGAAAAGCTGAGATCACGTCACCAATGTGCTTGTGAGGAGGCAGGCTGGGGAGCTGGATGGGTCACACTGGAGTTACGGGTTTGGATCCATGTGAACTTTTTAAGGCGTGTCCTCATTAGGTTTCTTTCCCTAAACCTAACCTCAGACTTTACTGGCCTACCTCTGTAATTTTATGTCAGTGGCGTAACTGTACTTTAAGGACGTAATTCAAGGGGTGTCATATTGTATTTGTAGGATACTATACAAACTGTTCTATGAGAATACGCTGCTTTGTAATACTTCCTTCTTTACTCCCGACAGCGCATTGGTCAGCCTTTATAATTACTTGGTTTATATCTGAATACTGGTGCATTACTTTTAGTAGTTATATGTATGAACGGTGCATGAAAACTGGCTGCCTTATCTACACATATGGAGTTAACCTCATGACACACTGCTGCAATCTATATCGACTGTCTATATACAGTATATACACTGCACAGTCACAAAAAATATCCAGTGAATTTATTTGGCTCAAGTGGTTCCTAACCAGCTCAAGACAATGAGAATATCAGAATAAATCTGCAGTTCTGTGATTTTAAAGATGCGTCCTGTGCAAAAAACAAAAAAAACAAAACCACCACTGAAAACTAAGAAGATATAAACTCTTCTTTTTCGTCAGCTGCTCTTCCTAATGAGAGCACTGTTGCTGAATCTGCTAACAGGTTGGAGAAAGGTGACTGGCTGAACGGTGAGGAGGTGACACTGGTGACAGCTGCCATGAAAAGTGACGCACTAAAATAAAAATGTAACAGTGAACACTATGACACTATGGAATAAGACTGATGTTCAAAATGACAAAACTGAACTCCAATAAAATAACAGGACTGACACAAGTCACATTAATCACAAGTTCTTAATTCAGTCATTAAATATCAAGTTTATTTAATAATTTAACAATTAATTTGACATTTTCCTGCATTTATTCATATGATTATTGCTTTTCATCTGTTTAATGTTTCTGGTTTTTCATATCCCTTCTATATTCTGAACTTTTATTTTAACCTGTTGGGTTTTATCTCAAGTTAAAAAGAAATCACATTTTTTTGACTTGTGCAAACTCCCAGTTATGTAATACTGTTACTCAAACTATTCTGACTTTATCTGCTTCAGTGATGGTATTTTATCTTTATTTCGTTTTTATTGTTCTTTCTATTTTCTTAAAATTGCCTCATTTTATTTGCTTGAATCCTGCATTGTTTTAATTCCAAAAAACATGTAAAACACTTTGTAACTGTGTTGAAAAGCGCCTTATAAATAAAATTTATTATTTACATTTAGCTGAATATGTAGTAGTTGTCACACAAAAAAAATCGAAAAAAAATCGACTATATAATATTATACATATAATAATGATAATAATGGTACCAATTTGATTATTATCAAGCCTTAGTGTTATCTTTTTGCGGTGGTGATAAATCAACAAAATCACTTTTAAGTAATGCCCTGACACGTGACTTTTCACAAATATTAATAAATTAATTTATTATGTTTGGCTGATTAATAACTTTTGCAACTTTAAACTTTGTTTTTATAGGCTATAATTAATAATCACCAGATGAAGACATAAAGCCACAGTAAGTCGTCACCGTGTCATAAATCCTTACCGATGAGTAGAGCCGTCCGTCTCCTTCTATGCAGAGAAACCGTGCAGCTGCTACTCCTCTGATGGCAACACATCCCGGGTCCACTGAGCGGATCTCCAGCAGGCCTGCAGGAGTGAGCCATCTTCAGTCATCAGAACAAGCCTGACAGTCTGCAGCCTGTTAACGCTGTGTTTAAAATGCTTGACTTACTGTATGGAGTCTGGTGCGCAGAGCCGTGGATCTGTCCATCCCCGCTGATCAACAGGTGCAGTCCCGGCCTGGCGGCGTACAGGTGCCTGAGCCGGATCATCTGGCCCCAGCTGTGGGCTAAATGGGGGCCCTGGTCCGGCAGGGGCATGCAAACTACTCCAACAGCAAAAAACACGTTGGCAACGGAAACGGTGACCGCGAGCAGAAGCATGATCCGTGTCCTGTGTAATAAGCGCAGTGTTGGTGCTCCCTCCAGTTGGCAGTGACAAGTGAGCCAGTCTCATCCTAAGCCAGTCTTTTAAATGTGTCCCTTATCAGCAGCAGATAACCCTCTTTCCCAAATCCAGTTCCCAGAAACAGACCACAACACACCCCTGCACGACATCCAACTGAATCATAGCTCTCTGTTGGCCCCTGGCGAGCCCCTGGCAGGTCTGTGCGAACTTCATTCAGAACTCTGGCAAGTCACCGAGGTGTTGAGTTTCGGCCGACATGATCACTGTATAAACACGAGTCAGACATTTTCTGAAACGACAAGAAACCATTTTGATTTCGGCATATAGCCACAGAATTACAGTGTTACTACTGATAACTGTGGAGATGATAAAGTATTATTAAAGTGTTATGGCAGTACCATGGAAGAAGGCATGAATTCACTTCAAATTCACAAACTTTATTCATTAGAATTGGTGCTTGGTAAATAATTTGCATGCCGAATTTACCAGAGGGCACTAATGATTCATTCAAGTTCATAAACATGTATCATAGTGTTAATTTCTGGTGGATAAGCGAGGTAACGTACATTTTTACGCTTTTAGAATGGAGTTTGGTAGAACCTCTCAAGGCAGGGCATGACTCCTATGGGGGCTGCTCCAGGGGGCTCATGGGAGTTTAATCAATTACCGACTACTAAGCTACTGTTATTAAAATGAAAGCAGGTCCATCCACATTATTTTATTGTATCATTATTGTTATTAGTTGTAGTAGTAGTACTGCAGTGGACTGGAGCTAAGTACCAAATGTAAATGTACTAAACACTAAATTTTAATTGGGCCTACAAATCTGAGGTAGCACCACTTGTGCTTTCATTTGATGCCACTTTCTGCTGCAGTTCAGAGGAGAATACTGTGTTTTAAATATAAAACGTGACGAGCTCAGTTGATCTCAGTTGAGGTGGTTCTGGCATCCGATCAGGATTCTCTTGGGCACGTCCCACTGGTAGGAGGCCCCGGGGCAGACCCAGAACATGCTGCTTATCTGGCCTGGGAACACCTCAGGGTCCTTCAGGAGGAGGCGGAAAGTGTTGTTTGGGAGAGGGATGTCTGGGGTGCTCTGCTTGGCCTGCTGCCCCCGAGACCTGGCTCAACAGCAGTATACGCATTAATGCATCACCACTAACAACCCAGTGTTATAATATGCTGTATACTAGTCTAACAGTCACATTAATTACTTTTACTCTTAATATTTCAAGCACATTTTGACAATGATAGTTGTATTTTGTTTACTTCAGTAACATTTTCAATGCAGTACTTTTACTTGTAATAGATGTAATGTGTTTTTACATTTTGCTACTTTTACTTTAAGGGTAACTTTGGTATTTTTCAACCATGACCCTATTTTCCCATATTTTTATGTCTAGGTGACAAATAAAATATTTTTATGTCTAGGTTGAATTTTTGTGTTGCGTTACTCGCACGAGTTTGAACGCTATGATATTTTGTGTTGACTCGCTTTATATTTGTGAATAACTCGTATCATATGTGCATGAAATTGCTGAATTGATTGATGAACTTCCGCTGGTACGTCCTTGGAGTCATACGTCCACAGAGGATTTCAATGCTGATTGGCTATCGCAGCGTGAATTGGTCACTGAAGTTCAGATCTTTCAACTCTCACAAATAAGCATATGTGAAATTGCGCTACTTGCTGTATTTGTGTCGCTTAATTCTCATATTTCAGTACCATTGCGTCAATTGTGTCAGCGAGCAGGAGTTTGACTCTAATTGCATCTTTACATTGACTTTAAATGTAATTGCCCGCAGTGAACACAACATAAGTGTCTGAAAGGATCCCTACAGAGATAGAGCTTTTTGATGAAGAGTTAGATTCTTTTAATTTAATGAGAAACAGTCCTAAAACCACCATCATCAAACCCACCAGACTCCATTTAAGTAAACAGCAATTTTAGCGTGTATAGCGGCAGCATGTTTTCACATCTAACTGGGTGAATAAGGGTTAATTTAAACCAAAGCAGTTAGTGATTGATAAAACAGTAGAAAGATAAACCAAGATGGCCTCTGTGAGTTTTATTTTGTGTCTGTCGACTTTGAATGAAGTGTGTTTCATGATGATAAAATCACTGTTTTTTTTTTTTATATGGAGTCTGGTGGGTTTGTCAGTAGCCATTTTGGGGCTGTTTCTGATTAAACAAAAAGGATCTTACTCTTTAACACAAAGCTCTATCTCTGTAGTATCCTTTCATAATGTCAGACATCTTAGAATAACAATCTGAGCCTGTTAGTGACAAAAACAACCACTTTTAGTGGACGAACACTGACGATGCACAATTGCCCATTAAGGCTACATTGCATTGTTTTGGGGCTGCCTGCTGCAGCGCTTTCACTCAAAACTGGACCTGTTTCAAGGACTGTTGTTCCCACGAGTCACTTAGACACAAAAACATCAGAACATTGGGTCTAAAGTGAAAAATACTGAAGTTACACTTTAAGTAAAGGAGCTGAGTGCTTTCTCCACCACTGTAGGAGCTGTAATAGCAGTAAGCAAGGCACGATGATATCTCATACACAGGCTGACACTATGTGCTTTATTAAGTCATATAACATAAATAGAGGAACATTAATTAAATGATGCAGCAGAAGTTGCAGCAAAAGTAATAGCTGAAGTTGTAGTAGGCCAACTAGTACAGACAGTAGTAAATGCTGCTGTAGCAGTGGTGTTAATGGAGGCAGTAGCAGCAGTATTAGCGGTATAGTAGTAGTAGTAGTAAAGGTAACAGTATTGCATTGATTTTGGTGTTGTAAAAATGAAATGAAGAGCAGTGTGACAGAAGGAACAGTCCCTGCCACAGTGAACCCTGACTCATGCCTATAGACTGCGTCTGTCTTATATTGATAGTCACGTTGCATAATTACATTACATAAAGTTCTACCAAATGTACTCTGTCAAATTGCACGTTTTTTATTTGTGGACAGGGTAAAGTCTACCAATTGGTCTGAATCCCAGCGGAGCTGTGAGATTGGGTCACTGCACAATAAAATAACAGACTTCTTTCCGCTCTTATCACGGTGTGACCTGTGCTTCCGCTGCTCGGCCTTGAATGTACATACAGGTTAAACTGTAATGGGAAAGCAAACTTTACAGAATTTACCAAAACGCAATCCGAGGCTCGGATTTCAAAAGCTTATCTTTTGATTTTTAGATTTGTAAATTGATCCTCTCGGTGTTGTGGCAGTTTGACAGGTGATTTTTTTTCCCTTTTACCTAAAATATCTACCTAGCATTTGCCACAAGGTGGCAGCCTACACTTTATTGTTTTTAATTCATTGACCACAGAACAGTTCATCCAAAAAACTTCAGAGAAAAAGAAAGTGACATAAGTATTCCAAATACACACCCAAAGTTATGCTCAGCATGGACACAGTTACACAGCAGTTAGTACAGAAGACAGAGGAGGAAGAAGAGGGAGAAGACAAGGAATAAAATCCCCCCCCAAAAAAAGAAAAAGTGGAGAAGGAAGAGAGGAGGAGATCAGTCAGTGATGGTGCAGATAAAGAAGGGTGATGAGGAAAAAGAAGGTAGAACAGGCAATTTTGCAATACAGTATCCAAATAGAGTGACTTTTTATTAATATTTAACCAAAATCTCAATCCTCCTCAATCTGTCGTAACTTTAACCAAAGTGCTTTTTTTAAACCTAAGACAAGAGTCTGAACCCAAACCTGAGGTTCTGGTGTCGAGGTCCTGCTCTTCATACACTCGCCATCCTCCCCGAGCAGCTCTTTGCAAAGCCTGCACGGTACACAAATGTAGTATTTTATTACCTGACAAAAATGTTGTCTCTGAACATCATCCAGGCAGCAACGACGTGCTTAAAAAAGTGGTTTAGTAGCACACAAATGTAATTTCTTGGAGACAGGGTCACTAGGGGCCACAACATGCTAGAAAAAATTGTTTAGGTTTCCTGGATCTTTCCAATTATCTGCTTTTGTTGTTTCACCCTGTTAAAAAGATAAATTCAGGCAGGTTAGCTCACAGCAGCATCAGCTGATCGATGGAAGGTAGTCAGCTGACTGATCACATGATTCCTTTCTATGCAGCCAATTTGAAAATCTCCTTCAGGGAGCTCTATGTAAACTGGGGCACGATCGCAAAACAGTGAGCACCGTTTTGCAACAGTTTTCAGGCTGAATGACATGTTTCCTTGAAACATTGTCAAATGGCAGTTTATATCTACATTGGGAGCGGGTCCTCGTCTTCAGAGATTGTCATGTTGCACTGCCATGTTTCTACAGTAGCCCAGAACGGACAAACCAAACACTGGCTCTAGGAAGAGACATTTGTGTTTTTACATCAGCCATGGTATTCAGAAGCTCCTTGCTGACGAGCACCGTCCGAAAAACACTGATATTTGTAAAGAGAAACATCTTTTCTTCAGTGTTTTTACTGGTTTCCAGCACAAAGATTTCTTGTTTTGGAGAGGAAGAGACCTCTGTGGATAATTCTGCTCACAGTGAAAACGTCCTGAGTGATGAACACTGAAGGAATTCTAACTAGGAGAAATTTCTTCTGGTTGTAATCTGCAATCTTCTCCACTAGATGGCACTAAATCTGCCTAAATCTGACACACCAGACCTTTAAAAAGTGGGAAACTATAATAGTAGTGTTATTTATTAGTGTCAAATAAAGTCCTGTGTGGCCTTCAATCACATGCTGGCTCCCTAAAAAATCAGTCATCAAAACTTTGAGAACTCCTGATTCATGACTTCTGTCTTGCTCTAAAATGGTCCGTTCAACTGTTAATTAAGTTTTTAAAAATTCTCCTGGGGGGAACTACCCCCAGACCCTCCTGCAGACCCTGAAAGGAACAACTTCAAACACTCCAAACAATCACCACACTTGCAGACAGGCTTTTCACTGCACAGTGATATCTTATTAAGAATGTAATTACAATACACTGGAAGCATGAAAGCCTCTCTGAAATGTTACCAAGCTGTTTGTGGAGATTTGTTTACTTGGTTACAGACTC